GAATAGCTAACAATAGAAAATCATTGCAGTTTATCAATTTAATTTCGTGATGAATATATTGCGTTGAGAATGTGCGTGAAGCATAAGTTAGCTCGTTAGCTACGATAGCATATCGTAGAGCGATTTCGACTAAAGTTCGATTAATTATATAATAAATTTAAAAAGTTCGATTAATTATATAATAAATTAATCAACAATTCAATCGGTAGAATTGTCTCAAAAGTAAAATTTCTAATTGTTTAATTCGTTGCTACCAATCTAATCTCTCTCTACATCTCTCTACGTGTTAAACAACAAAAAAATTAATAATTCTATCCGCGTTAACGAAATAGTACAGGCATTACTTGATGAATTAATTGTTAATCAGGTTAATATTTAGTAGAAGTCGTCCGTTCTTCCGAAACGACCGGGTTTCCTCTCATTTCCTCTCGAACCAACGGTCACGGTACAGGGATGTGTATCTTCTTCTTCTTCTTTGCGCCCCTGGTGGATCTCTGGCTCAATAGGCCATGGTACCACGCTTTCCATACAAGACAACGGGTCCAGTGGCGGGGGCACTGGAGCCCTCTTGTATCAATTACAGGAGGCTTCAAGCCGATTCAATTATTGCTTTGACCAACTGAGAGGTCGATAACTATTCAAAAATAAAAAAAAAAAAAATGTGCCATACGCACGTATCCAAAATTCCCCTATGTACAGGACACCATGAAAATCTAACCGTCAAGCCGCTTGCAGCGGCGAGACTGGCGATCACGTGATATAACCCAGTACGCAAAAGATTTCAAATTTCGCAAATCAGATTCAACCTTATCTCTTAATTCGAATAATTAGGATCGACACTCCCCTTAATCCTCATACGGCAATTACGCGATATAACGCAGTTATGATTCAAATTACGCTAGAAATTCCAAATTTCACAAGTATATATAACTTTCTTAAATTAAAAGAAAACACAAAATATGCATATCAAATACGATCGAAACGCTTGGTCAAAATCCAAAGCGTCCCCCTCGAGCAGGGACGCCCAAGAGATCGACCAAATCTCCTTAAGTGATCCCCAAACGGCGAACTCGCAACATAACGCAGATATATATCAAAGTACGCAAAAGGTTTCAAATACCACAAGTATAAAGCAAACAATAACTGTTCTCATAACAGTTAATCTTCAAAACATGTTCAATAGAGCCGCTAATCATAGTACGTAGTGACAATGTGTCCTCTCCAATATAAAGCATTGACATATAATTGACATCCCCAAGGATACCTTAGGAAATATTCCAAGAACGCAGCAAAAACCGTAAACACAATTACACGAAGGTGGAATGTTCCATGCCAAAGCCGAAACGTATAATGAAAAACTCTCAATCCAGATCGTACGACGATCACATGATATAAACACGATTCAAGATACGCATTAAGAATTTTCAAGTTTCACGATCGAGTAATTAACTATCTTAAATCACATTAAAGAAAACACAAAATATGCATAGCCAAAAACAATCAAAACGTTCTCGCTAAATTATCCCCATACGGAGATCACGTGATATAGCGCAAATATAATTCAAATTTCACGAATATATAGCCGACTATAATTGATCTAAATTGTCCATAAGTAACTTATATTAACAAAATGCAAGAGGTCTAAACTTAGAACTAAAAAGCCTAACAACTTTTAATATTCGCGATAAGGTACGCAAGAATTTTCAAGTTTCACGATCGAGTAAATCACATTAAAGGAAACACAAAATATGCATAACCAAAAACAATCAAAACGTTGGACATATAATCAACCGGTTCTCACTAAGTTATTTCCATACGGAAATCACGTGATATAGCGCAGATATAATTCAAATTTCACGAATATATAGCTAACTGTAATTGATCTCAATTGTCCATAAGTAACTTATATTAACAAAATGCGGGAGGTCTAAACTTAAGAGCCTAACAAATTTTAATATTCGTGATAAGGTACGCAAGAGTTTTCAAGTTTCACGATCGAGTAAATAACATTAAAGAAAACACCAAATATGCATAACCAAAAACAATCCAAACGTGGACATATAATCGACCGGTTCTCGCTAAGTTATCCCCATACGGAGATATAACTCAATTTCACGAATATATAACTGACTATAATTGTTCTCAATTATCCATAAGTAACTTATATTAACAAAATGCGGGAAGTCTAAACTTAGAGCTAAAAAGTCTAATAAATTTTAATATTCGCGATAGTAATCAGTAATTAGTCTCAATTGTCCCTATATAACTTATCTTAACGAAAGAAGATCACTCAGTCCCATTGCACCAAGACAAAGTTGCTCTTCACAATATGTTCAGTAAAGATGTTAAACTTAGTATTAAACATTAAACACAAGAATGTATCTTCTCTTAACGAAAGAAGATCACTCAGTCCCACTGCACCAAGACAAAGTTGCTCTTCACAATATGTTCAGTAAAGATGTTAATCTTAGTACACATTAAACACAAGAATGTATCTTCTCTAAATAGTTAAGAAACAATCACGAAAGAAACTTTGACAACATAAGTGAACACTACAGACACAAAGTGGAGCCCGCCACAAAGTATCTTCAGTGGATCCGAATGTATGACGCATGAGCCGACGTCCGTACCGGACGCCGGCTCAAGGCGGACTCGGATGTGTATCTAGATGCGATTCATTCGAGATGGAGCAACTTGAAGCGTGATGGCACTCCCAACGCTGCAACAATATGTAGTGTCGGCTTGCTCTCTTTAGTTCATTCCCTCACATATAATACATGTGTGACACTTGTAAATAAAGATCCATGTCAGAGAGAAACCTGAGAGAGGCCATCCCGGCCTTTTTCGTGTGTTGCTGTGTTGCATTTTCCGACGCGCCGCCTGAGAAAGTGCAACTCAACTACGTCGTATCGCTCGGTAACCGCACATGGTTTGCGTCCGTGCTAATGGTTCGTGTCCGAACTAGCCAGCTGGAGGGGATATTCTGGCCGCGGCGGCCGCGCTTCCATCTTGCGTATTACAATTAATAACGAATTACGATAATTAAAATTACAAAATTAAGATTACATTCTTCAAAATTATTACGAATTTTGTATCTCATAATTTTGAAAAATATAATCGTAATTTTATAATTTTAATTTTCAGATAAATGTCAAATTTTGCAAGCAAGAAGCTATTATTTGAGCGTTGATTCAAACCTTCACATTTATGTGAAATTTCTAACAATTAACGATAATTTTTAAAATGTGAAATTCTATAGATAAATAATAAACACCGTTATTATCTTAATCGTCTTCTGTTGATTTCGTATAATATATCCGGCATTAGTATCATACAGTTTCAAATTTATTATACGTTTCCTTATAATTCTTTATTACAATAATTTTCTTATAAATAATGTTACATATGAAGAGGTAAAAGCCATAGTGGTGTAAGTCAAATTTTTTAAAATATTGTCTTGTATGCATAAATGCAATTTATATATTGTATAGATTGCATCTATGCACACGAGTCAATATTTTAAAAAATTTGACTTATGACACTATGGCTTTTACCCCTCCATATAATTAACAGTACGAGTTACAATCCGTTCGTGTTCCTACCTACCCAAAGTATAATATCTCTATGTATAATATGTATATATTCCCCGCCTATCCATATTTCTATATCTTCATATAGCTACCTAATATTTCATATTCCTACCATATTTTCATTTACCTAACGCGTTATTTCTGCCCACCCGAATTTATTAGTTTATTTAGTTTTATTACTATTAGTTTATTTTATCAATATTAATTAGTCGCAACCGCGATACCCGAAATTAAAGAAGTAAAGATTTTTAAAGGGAGTTTAAAAAATTTTAAGTTCGCGATTAATTGAGATTAAGCTGGAGACGTCACTTTCCCGTCTCCGATTACGCGTTCCCATGTGTAAAAAATATTACCCTCCCTATATATGCACATTATACACTAAATTGGTGGTGTTCAACACCAACCTACCTTGTGTAGATCTTCTCTCCTTTGACCAGTTTGACCATACCATTTCATGGCCAAATCCATTCTGGCAAAGCCAGAAACAAGAAGAAGGAATACACCTTCCGTTACCGCCTAATCATAGACGGCAGATGAGCGTAATGATTTTACGCTTTTTCTCACGATGCGCGAAACACGACCGCGTCGCGAAGGGCCATTTGTAATAAAATTAAATTAAGTAATTTTAAAATTACTAGCGTTGAAAATCTACTTAATATCGTATAAACTATAATTTACGCGAGTGATCATTTTCTCGATTAAGAACAAAAAAGATTTTAATTAGTTAGGAGCTGTTATTTGGAAAAAAACCCGTTTTAATCAACCGCGTATGTAATCCGAATAAATTCGACTACATTTTACGAATAATAAAAACTTTAATTTAAATCTGATATAAGCATGCAAGACTTAAATAAAAATGCAAAATGTAAATGAATAACAATATTGACTAACGCAAACTGAAAAAATCTAAGACCCATTTTTTTCGATATCGTTTCGCATACGGAGTCTCAAAAGGATGAGAAATAAAGAATTAATGACGTGAGATCCGAAAGAGATAATCAAGTTCCTGCACAATATTGAGCTAATGTGAATACTTTATGCACTCGAGCAAACAATTTAAATTTTGATAGTTACATTTTACTACGATAATTATACTACTACTTAAAAATCAAGTATTTATATTAACGCGAAATTAAGTAATCAAGTTTAAAATAATTGTTACAAAAAATTTTCTGTTTTGCAAAACATAATTTATCAGATCTCACGTCATATCGCTTTAACTAGTATAAAAACCAGTTATCAATACATATATGAAAAGACTGTGAAAGCTTAGGCTAAAATTGGTGCGTTATAGGAACAAATAATTTTAAATAATGATCGTGAACACACACAATTTTGTTAAATGGATTACGTAAAAAATATATTAAATAGATTGTATATACATAACAATAAATGATTAAAATAGTGCAAAGTACTTTTTATCTTCAATCGTGATATATGCAGGCTAAAAGCATCTCTAAGCGTATATATTGCATTCTTGCACCAATTTATATAACACTTAATCCTGAAAGATATTTGGGATGAAATTTACAATGACAAAATGTACGACAAATCAATTTATGTGATTTATCCAGGATTAAATGTTAAATCCTAATCTGACCCAGTCATTCCATTTTAAGACAACGAATCTGTGAAACGTAACATATGTAATAATTTATTGTGATAACTTGACTCTGCAATATATTTGACGTAATAATTGTCATAAATTCGTTACCTTAATTATGAAATTTTAATCATCACTCACCGACCGATGCACAACAGCGGAGTTATTCTGCAACGTCGCTACGATGATTCTGTAACAAAGAAATGTAGAATCCGAATTAAAGCAGGGTGCAAGAGAGAGAAACAGTCAATATTTCAAAAAATGATTACTATATAAACACTAAATTTTATATTATTGTTTATTAAGCAAATTTAATGAAATAATTTTGTAATTTCTTAAGAATACTCTATCCATTGAACATAAGCTTCTATAGAATTTCTAAAATAAAACTATTTTTCTCTAACTTTTATTTTCTGAATAACTATCCGGTTAAAAAGTAAATGACCCATCAGTATAAGATATAATATGAGTATATGTATAAATAAATTATATTTACCGCTTGTTGCTCCGCCGGCGCCTGATGCCTCCTCCTAGGCCTCCACCTCCTCTCAGGCTGCTCGGGATGTCAGTTACTGTTTCCTCGATGCGAAGATACTCCTTCCTGCGTGAATATTTTCTGTAACATAAAAATAATCGAATCGACTAAATAATTGTCACGCACATCGAACATCTTATTCGTTATTACGATTAATGTTTTTCTAAATTACATCTTCGAAAAAAGTCTCTACGTTAGAATCAACTTGAATCAAATTTTTCGATTTATTTTTTTTTTACTAATTTATATTCCAAAACATGGTTTAATGTAGCAACTAAATAAAAACAAACGAAAAAAAGATTCTATAATATCTTTAGAAAAAATAAAAAATAACACTTACCAGAAGTGTTAAGTACGCCGATGCCCGATGCCTCTCCTAGGCCTCTACCTCCTCTCAGGCTGCTCGAGATGTCCATCGTGTTCCCTCGATGCGAAGCTGATGGTCCTTCCAGCGTGGATATTTTCTGTAACATAAAAATAATCGAACCGATTAAATAATTGTCACGCGCATCGAACATCTTATTCATTATTCAGATTAATGTTTTCTTAAATTACTTCTCCAAAAAAGATCTCTACGTTAGAATCAACTTGAATCAAATTTTTCAAATTATTCCTTTTTACTAATTTATATTTCGAAACACAGTATAATGTAGCAACTAAATAAGGATAAACGAAAAAAGGAATTCTATAATATTTTTAGAAAAAATAAAAAGTAACACTTACCAGAAGTGTTGGTACGTTGATGCCCGATGCCTATCCTAGGCCTCCTCCTCCTCCTCTCAGGCTGCTCGGAATGTCAGCTACGCAGCATTCCCTCGCTGCTCCGATGTCACGTACAGCGTCGTTATTTTCTAAAATATTCAAATGAACGATTCGATTAAGTAAAGACAGAAAAGATAGAAAATTTTTGGACATGAGTAACATAGTACGTAAAAATCAATTACACTCACCACTTTCTTTCAGGCTGCTCTGGCCGCAAAATCCACCTCCACCTTCGGGTCAAATAGGAGTCTCGAGCCACATTGAGACTCGTGGCAATGCAGTGTGACTTCATCCATTAAGC